TGAAAGGTATTTTTGTCTTTTTCAAATGCCACTTAACAACTGGTTAACAATTTCACGTTTTGAAAATTTGGGTATTGAATTGTCGCATTTTAAAATTTGGGGATCAAAATAACACTAAGTCCAAAGTACAAAATACAAATCAGGAATTTTCCAAACAAATACAAGTCGAGAAATGTTCCTAACGAGTGATCCGGACTCATCCATAGGTGCGCTCTGTGAGGAACAGATCCGGACTCATCCATATGGATGTGGCTTTGGCCCATTTAGACAGGTCAGGCGCTATACATAAATGTGGTTAGTGGGGTTAGTGGCTTTTCTTCAGGTTTGATCCTATGCCTCCTCGATATATTGTAGGGTTGCAATTGACCACGTATACCACAGTAATTGGCCAATTTACAAAGCTTGTACTTTCTACTAGTGAAATTGCCAACTCCCAATAGAACTCAAATCAACCCAGATGACTAAATCATTTCTTTTCCTGACCATATATGTATGATCACTTTCCATTGTAGGCACTTTTTATTTACAGAGAAGTATGGATACACCCGATGCCATGAATTTGGCATTCATTCATGGTCAGGATGCATTCCCCTGTAATAGCTATAAAATTCTGATTTGGGCTGATTTGTCATTTTTCCTATTTATTTATCATATTATCACTGTGGCACTCTATCTTGCAGAAAGTAGAATTAATTCCTCATTAGCCTTTTTTTTCAATGATTCCACATAAGAAAAGTTGAAAGTTTTATAGAAAACGACATTTTTATTTATTTGTGGTTTTAGGGTAGAAAACCAAATTTCAGAAACTGGTTTTTATGAGAACATGTTTCTTGCCTTGGATAGTTGGATATGCAGGAATTAGAATTCCTTTGAAAAATCCATTTCATAACTTCCTCTCTTTCTTGGAAAAATATTTTATTTTTTAATTTTTTTCAATTCATAAGATATTTCAAATTAAGTTTTCAAGGGAAAAAAATATTGTGTTCTTAACTCTAGGACTGTTATGCAGGGTGTTTGGTTCCGTTTACGTTTATTCAATAAATGTTTATTGATGGTGTCACATAGGCGCCATATCATCATTTTCTCTCTCTTGCTTTTCTGTATGCATGGAAAATGTAAAAAGTGAACCTTGGTTTATGTGCATGCCAGCCGTTTGCGGAAGTTATTTTTTAAAGCTTCCACAAACAGCAAGGAGTTTATTCACTGTTATGCTGAAGTGGTGCCTAGTTGTCATAAACAGTTACAATTGTTGCATTTCTCGGTTTTACTAACAAATAAAGTACAAATATTTATTCAATAAACATAAACATAAACGGAACCAAACACTATCCTGTGTCTGACATAGGTATTCCCCACTCTGCAAAACCCAACTTTAGTATTTTGCTTGTCACTTCTGCCCCCCTTGCCACACCATCAATTCTTTGCATTCATTGATGTTTTGTTTTTTTCATGGTAGTGCCAACTATAAAGAATGGAAATGATTTTCTTTAAACCATAAAAAAAAGCAAAGAACCAATATCATGAAAATTTCTTTCCTTTCCACCCAACCAATCAAAGTTATTCTGGATGTTCTTTTCCTACAAAAAATTCTGTGCTGAATTTGATTCTTAGTTTGGATTGAACAAAATCTGTTTCAAACTTCATCTTCTTCTGCATTTTCTTACCATCAATAGCATAAAACTGAAGTTCACTATTTTAGAATATACCATGGACATACATGAAAAAGAGTTACCCAAACAAGACTAAACATGATCAGCTCTGTGGATCATTCATCGAATAATTGTAGGTTTCATTGTTGTATTTATTCTTGATTGGGTTTTGTAGCCTGTCATACATGTTTGTAGCAGATCTGGATTCTTTTAACCATGAGAGAACTCTACCCAGATGACCTAAGAATCCAGCAAATTTGATTCAGACACAAGGAACTCCACATATATATTTGCATGTCATGCCAAAATGCCATAATGAATTTTAAACAATACACAATGCAGTAGAGAATATTTGGTGGTAAATTCCTATCCAACGACAGAAATAACTGATCCCTAAAATGAAGTGTAAGAGTCCCCCTCTTTGAGTCAAAATCTCTTTCTTAGTTGAAACCACAGAATACTGAATCACATTAAGAAGGTAGAGTGCAAAAGAGGAGGCGGTTCAACCATGATAGATAACTGTACAAATTTCTTCTCTTTTGTTGTTCGTATTGATACCCAGTAACCCAGTTCTATTGTCCATACAAAGTGCCACCAAAGAGAGCACTATGTCTCTTAATTTATTTTTCGTAAGCACAGACGTCATCTTTCCATTAACATGCCGCAGAGAGAAAGAGATCTGTTTAGAGGGAGAAGAGTTTGCATACCATTTCCCTTAAAAACCTTAATAATGTATTTGGTTTGAAGGAAAAAGTTGGAAAAGGAGGAGAAAGATAAGAAAATCTTTACCAATCTTATATAGGTTTTTCTAACTTTTTCTTCCTTTTCCTACATTTTCCTTTAAACCAAACATAACCTCAAGAGAAGAGACAAAAGAAAAGGTGAAGTTTGTACAGCTACACGTAACATGTGACTATAGCTTGCAGTGGGGGCATTTGAGAATTCATTTCTTATGTCACTTTCCACATATTGTGAACAAAACAAAAGAAAAAAGTGGTCATTTCAAAATGTTATGAAATGGATTCTTTTTTTCTTTTCTTTTTTTTTTTTCATTTCCATTGTGGATTCAAAAGCCATGCAATTCTGTATCTCCACGCTTAGAAGACTAGAAGAGTCATTTCTGCCTTCTGGTTGTGGAGTAAACATAAAGTGGAGGTCGTTTTACAAGCGCAAGAAAGGAATCCACTTGATGGCATTGTGGGTTGGGATGTATACCGCACCACTAATTAAATTGAAACTATTTCATTCTAGTCGACACACAAAAACGCTATACTAGTGAATTTGCAACATGTAATTTGTAGGAAGAATATGTGAATACTGAACAAGGATAAATCTTATAGTTCTGTTCTTTTAGATTATGTTTGGTTTGTAGGAAAAGGTAGGGAAACAAAAAGAAACCTGTACAAACCTTGTATAGGTTTATGTAGCTACCTTTCCCCCACTTTTCCTACGGCAGCACCCATAAGAATAAGTGATCTATTGCAAGTTGAAGGAGTTAGAAGGACCAGACAAGTAGTAAAAAAATGATTTAACTGCTCATAATTTAACAATGGATATGGCATTTAGTGATTCACGTAACCGATCAATCGACAGGCTTGTATAATGATGATGATGATGTTTCCTTGAAAACATTATTTACATTCTTGCACTAGTCAGTTTTGAGATCATGTCTGTTGACGTAAGTCTCATTAATTAGAGCCACACAGTAGGTATTGCAAGAAACATAAACATGATTACTACTTCATTGCTCTTCTAACAAGAACCAGCTATATATAGAAGTATTAGAGAATGTTTTTTCTTTCAAGGAAAGACTGTTGAGTTGTATTGTTTTGCAAGGGGATCGATTGAATATATTGATCATCAACATTCAAAACTAATGATGAAGCATTGAAGCATATTGGTTAAATTACCTTTTTCTAAGGTTTGGTTTGGAAAGAGTGCTAATATAAATATGTAGAGTAGGGGTGGCCACATGTTGAGTCTTTCATGAGTTATTCAAGCTCGGTTCGGCTTGGTTTAAACTGAGTTTCAAGCCGAGTTCAAGTCCAGTAAAGCTTAGCTCGCGAGCCTAGTATTAAATATATAATTTTTATTATATACATATATACATACATGCATGCTTACATACATACATATATACATATATACATATATAATAAATAATTTTATTATATATAATAAAATTTTTTAATATAATATTTTTATTTTTTATATATAATAGTAAATATTTTTTATAATTCTTAATTTTTTGTCTAAAAAAAAGTATACATATAATTTTTATTTTTCAAAAAAAAGACTTGGCTTATAGTTGAGCTTGGGTTGAGCCAAGCTCAAACTTGCGAGCTATGAACCGAGGCGAGCTCAAATAACTAAGTATTTGATTCGGCTCGGATCGAATCCACCCCTAATGTAGAGTACAAAGTCTTATATTTTGTACATGTGTTGCTAAACCTCTATTTTCACTTTTGCACTCCTTCCAAACTGAGACTAAATTGGATATTAATTCATTTGATTAGTTGTTGTGGTCCTCATCAAAATTAAAATCATTTTACACGAAACGTATTGCACTCATCAGTTGGGTGGAGTTTAGTATCACGCGTGTTGCAGAGCCGTTCATCATCATGTAAGTGCAAACCATATATATAGGCATTTTGACTAGCAAACCAAAATCCCTTTTGTTGGATTAGCTGATTCAAGTACAAATGTTTGTACTGCTTTTTACCTCAGCTCATATTCAAGTCAATTGTAAAGAAATAGCATTTAAACATTTCTTGCTCAGGGTGCATTTTGTATCATGTGGCACAACCTGATGCATTAAACGAGAGGATACCATTTTTCTTGATTTTCAATGCTCAAATCAAATACAAGCACGACACCTCTACAGGACCACAACACCAAACACCTTGTTAGGATCCATACATATTCCAAGAGGTCCTTAACTGTATCCTTTTCTGAGAGTTTCAGGAGAACAAACAGATGTCTATCTTCACCTACGAGCTGTGCCCCAGTAGGTTCTCAAAAGTTGAATATAAAATGCACATATTTAAAGGGAAAATACATCATTAGAAAGGCCTTTTTATCAAAGACCCTTGTCCTATTCTTTCACAAGTATCCTAAGATTCCAATGGATGTTTATCTAATACAGTCCTTAATTAGATATTCCAAGATGATAACAAGACAAAGTTCTCAAGAAATTGAAGGCACAAATCATCACAATTCCCTAGGATGGAATATATCAATTCAATTAATAGAGTAAAGACAAAGCAAATTATGTTGAAAAAGATATGGAATGCAGCTTCACATGCATGGAAGTCAATTATTTATGGTTACACAGACCCCTCTTCACTTACAGTCATCCATAAATATATGGAGGGGCTTAGAACGAACACATAAGGCGCAGTTGAAAGAACATGGCTGATGATGGGAAGAAGGAAAGAGAGGAGGAGAAGGCAGAGGCAGAGAAGAAGCTTGGAGGGCTCAAGACTATCCCATTTATTCTAGGTGAGTTTTCTCTTTTATATGTTTCCTTTCTATATATATGTTCTGCCATACTTAGCTTAGCTGCTTCTGCTATAAGTAATAAAATGCTTTTTCTAGTGTTCTGCTAGTTCCCCATTTGGGGTTAATGGCTATCATTCTCAGATTATTATTGGACAGACTAGAAATTTGATGGCTTCGATACCTTGGTTTTCTTCCCCATAATCAGAGACACATTAAGCAGAGATGAGATATCATAAATTTGTTCTTGTTTGTTGGGTAAAGGAATGATGAATTAATTGATAACTGAAGCGTTTGGTACTGTTTTGCTTTTGCAGGAAATGAGATAGGTGATAGATTTGCTTCAACGGGGTTTCATGCTAATATGATCACCTATCTTACGCAACAGCTTAATATGCCGCTGGTTCAAGCCTCCAATACCCTCACTAACTTTGCTGGAACTGCAAGCTTAACGGCACTATTGGGTGGCTTAATTGCTGACTCGTTTGCAGGCCGATTTTGGACAATTACAGTTGGTTCCGCTATTTATGAGCTGGTATCTTCTCCCTAGTACTGTTAATCCTTATTCTACAGTGCTCTCTTTCTTTCTGTCGACTCTAGAATTAGCAAAAAGGTAGAGAGTTCAGGATTGAAGGAGAAGGAGAAGAAAGATGAATTTTTATATAAGTGTGGATGGAAGAAATTAAGAAATGGGAAGATCTGTAAACCAACCTCTTTCATGTCAAAAATAAAATAAAATAAAAATCATATCTCTACTCAAATACTCAAATGAATAACCATAACCCAACCTTTTTTTGGGGACCCAATGGGTTGCTTAATCCATATATGTATTCCTCCCATGTCTTATTTGAGTGGTTTGTAAATGGATGGGTTGGGTGGATAGTGTGGGTTAGGTCAGAAATTATTGTCACCCCTAAACAATTAAAAACTCAACACATGATCCCTATTTTACTATTTAAAAAAGAAAAGATTATCCCTTGAAAAGCTTAGAAAATCAATCATAAATCATATTATGCAGTTATAAATGGTGTAGGACTGCAATTATTCTCTCAAATTTGTGAAAGATGTTTTGATATTAATTAGGATAATCCCATAAAAAGAAAGGTAAATGTTTATGCAATTTAAGGCCTTCAGGCAGAGTGGACCATAGACCATGACAATCTCTCTCTCTCTCTCTAGACTTTTCTATTTTCTGAAAGATGTATTTCCTAGCTAATATAATAACGACCGTGACCACAGGGACTGATCAGCCTCACCACATCAGCTCTTGTTCCTAGGCTTCGGCCTCCGCCATGCCGAGCTCAAGAAAACTGCCAGCAGGCCTCACCATGGCAGCTCTGTGTCCTCTACATCTCACTTCTCCTCACCTCCCTTGGAACAGGAGGAATTAGGCCTTGTGTAGTAACATTTGGAGCCGACCAATTCGACATGTCTAAATCTAAACAAAAAGCCCGAAGCTGTAATTTCTTCAACTGGTACTACTTCAGCATGGGAATGGCCACACTCGCAGCCTTAACCGCTGTTGTTTATATCCAAGACAACGTGGGCTGGGGCTGGGGCCTAGGATTGCCAACCATAGTCATGTCACTGTCTGTCGTGGCCTTTGTTGTAGGCTCACCTCTCTATAAGAAGCTGAAACCCTCTGGCAGCCCACTGATCAGGCTGGCCCAAGTTGTTGTCTCTGCTGTTAGGAAGAGAAAGGCAGTAATGCCAGCTGACCCTGATCTCCTGTATGAGAATAGAGAGCTTGATGCTTCCATTTCTTGTCATGGGAGACTTCTCCACACCAATCAACTCAAGTAAGCTACAGAATGATTCAATGGCTTATCCTTTACAATATTGTTCAAATGCTTAATGTTCTTCTCCCAATTTCTGAAGGTTCTTTGACAGAGCAGCCATTGTCACTCAAGCTGACAAGAAGGATATCAACACCCCAAATCTGTGGAGGCTCTCCACCGTTCACCGAGTTGAAGAGATTAAATCAATCATCAGAATGCTCCCCATCTGGGCTTCTGCAATTTTGCTCGTCACTGCATCTTCCCATCAACACTCCTTTGCCATCCAACAAGCCCGGACAATGGACCGCCACCTCTCTCCCTCGTTCCAAATCCCTCCTGCAACCATGTCCATCTTCAACATCCTCCCTATGATGGTCGGTCTCGTTATCTATGAACGCCTCTTTGTTCCTGCTGCTCGTCGCTTCACCGGAAACCCTTCTGGCATTACATGTCTGCAGAGAATGGGTATAGGTTTCATGATCAACATTCTGTCCACCATTGTTGCAGCGCTGGTCGAGATCAAAAGGAAAGCGGTGGCAGCAAACCACAACTTACTAAACGAACCTCGAGTCATCATCCCCATTAGTGTGTTCTGGTTGGTTCCTCAGTATGGCCTCCATGGGCTGGCTGAGACCTTCATGTCTGTTGGTCACCTGGAATTTCTTTATGACCAGTCACCGGAAAGCATGAGAAGCACGGCAGCCGCGCTTTACTGGATAGCAATAGCTGCCGGAAACTACCTGAGCACGTTATTGGTTTCACTTGTTCATGGATATTCCGGCAAGAAGAGAAATTGGCTACCAGACAGGAATATCAACAAGGGAAGGTTGGAGTACTACTACTGGCTTGTGACTGGGATACAAGTCTTAAACCTCATATTTTACACAGTCTGTGCTTGGTTTTACAAAAACAAGCCTTTGGAAGAAGTGGAAGCTCAGAGTCAGCCATGTAAACTAGGGAATAACATCAAAGAAGGAGATGTGGAGCTTGCTAGAAGTAGAAACAGACCTTCTAATCTTCCGATTGATGTCAGTGGGAAAGAAAATGTGGATCTTTCTAACAATGACAAAGTTTAAAAAAATGTTTTGGGGTATATAATTATATTTTTGTTAATTAAACCCGGAGTATGAGTTCGATTAATTAATTAATTTTTTAAGAGGCTGTCCTCTTTTAGCACCCAGGAAACATAAATGATTAATTTACATTTATATTTCCTTTTCATTTACCATGTGATCGATGGTCATCTTAGGTAATTGAAAATTTATGTTTCTTAGATTTTTTTCTTCTTTTTCCTTTCATTTTTTCTCTAAAGGAGAAACTTCGCCTATCTGTAGAGTGCAGTATATGGGTTGCTTAAAGTCAATAACTTCAACTTAGAACTGCCACCAAACCAACAATTTAACATTAATCAATTAATTCATTCATTCATTGATCATTCACATAAGAATCTTTGTTTGATGAACTTTTTGATATCTACAGGATAATTACCTTTTTAAGACAAATGTAACTAAACAAAGAAACACTTGCCAATAAGAGAAAAATAAAATGAATCATATTAAAAGATTTTTTCCAATCTTTTCTCAAACCATTGATTGATTTAATTGAGAGGATCGCCTAATGGCCCACTTAAGTTGGCTAAATCTGTTAGAATGGGCCAAGCTCCTAGGTTATTACGGGTGTTTTGAGTTTGGGCTACAAGTATGGGTTATAAGACCCATGGTTTTAGTATTGGCTCTTCTTTTTTTGCCCATTTCCTGTCTCCGTTAATTTATATAGACACAAGCATGCAAAAAAAAACTTGGTATAATTTAATCTTCATAGATGATATCAATATGGCTAAAAACCAACCCTAAATCTATACTACCTATAAAAGAGTGAATGCTCGCTCTTTCTGGAAATTTCATTAGATGTTTTTATCCCTTTTGTTTAAGCATACAGCATGCATAAAGAGTTGGGGATGAGACCAAAGAAGTTGATATTGAGAGTCTTGGTTTACAGGAGAAGAAGATACTATTAGAGAGGTTGTTGAGAGTTGCAGAGGAGGATAATGAGAAGTTTTTGTTGAAGCTTAAAAAACAGATTGATAGGTATTAGAGACTCTTCTTCTTTTTTCTTCATTTCCTTTCCCTTTTTTTGCTGAACTGAACTTTTTTCCCTTGAATATACTTACCAAGTTATTTTCTCTGCATCTGTGTTGTGCTCAAAGTTGGACTTGATATTCCCAAAATCGAAATCCAGTTTGAGCATTTAAATGTTGACGCAGAAACTTATGTGGAAAGCAGAGCTTTGCCAACGATCATCAATTTCTCTACTAACATGCTTGAGGTGAATTAACTGCATTCAATATTTTGATCACCATATATTCATGTATAATCTCATTTGGCCTGTAATCTTTGATACTGCCATGTGCAATAAAAACACACCCTTAGTTTCTTACCCATTAATAAAAATAAGAATGGCTCAATGTTATCGTCAAAGGGCCCTGATTTCATTCTTCCATTTATACCCCTGTCATTAAAATATATTTCCATCTTATTATGTTTTCAGAAATTTATTATTAGTGTAATAATAATTATTAAGTTACATTAATTATTATAGTAAAATTTGTTATTTTCAAAATACTGTAATTACAGTAATTTTAAAATAACTGTAATTCCAATAATAATTATTAGTGTAGTTAAATTAATTATTTTTTTCAAAATAATTATTACACTAATAATTATTATTGGAATTTTGGTGTAGTAATTAAATAGAGTAATCGTTATAATAAATGTTTTACTATAGTTACAATTTCTTAAAATTAATTTTATTACACTGACAATTAAGTTGTGTTATTTTCCACAAAAATTAATAGAAATCAATGAATATACAAAATTTTCAACCAATAATTTCTTTATAAATGTCATTTAAAATTAATTAAAAATTATAAAATTAAAAAATAAATTCAACAATTATAGCTCCAGGAAAGAGTTGGTGGAGTTTGCAAATTGGCAAACAAAATATCATAATTTTGGAGAAGAAAATAAAAATATATATATATTAATGTAATTTTGGAAATTTTCTTTAAAATGTAGTAAATGATTATTGAAAATTATTCGAATATTTTGGAAATTTGGGAATTTTTATTACATTTGATAGATTTTGGAAAATTATTTAAAAAATGTGTGATTTTCATTTTAAATTATTAAAGGTAAATTAGTATTGGTAAAGGAAAATGTTAATTTGAACCAATAATTACACAAATTATTTCTGTTATTAATATAAATTAGTATAATATTGGAAAATTTTAGAAAAGGGAATTATTAATTAACTTATATTGAAAAATAAAAGATAAATTAGTGTAATTTTATAAATAATATATTTAAAAAAGAAAATAAATTATTTAATATATTTAAAAAATCAATAATTTAGTATATATACTTTTGGAAATTTACTAGGGGCCAACATTCAATATATCTTTTTGATCATTTTTACCAGTAAATTAGACATTGGGTTTTCCTGTGCATCGCACGGGATCCCTTCTAGTTCTATTAAAAAACCAAAAAGCATCATAGTGACCAAAGACAAGTTTTTACCAACAGCATGATTATGCTAGTGGAAGGGGCTAACTGCTACTAAGGGCCCGTTTTTGGGGGTTTCAACTTTTACTAAGCTGCTTTAAATGAGCCACTTTGAAGAACCTACTAAAAATACTTCAATCACAAGTCAATTTCTTGTCTCTTTTTGTTCTTAATAAGTACTTTTTTGGCTCAATGAAAATGTATTTAGACTTTCTCGCCTTTTCATCAAACATAGCTTCTCCTTCTAGGCTTTTCATGTGGGGCCCATCTTGCAAAACTAGAAGCTACTGTGTGAAAGCCCTCCAAAACTGGCACTTCAACTGAAAATGCAGGGCTCATTTGGGTGGGCCCTCATAAAACATGACTCATTAAGCCATATTTTTTGCTTTCAGATGGTCATTTTTCTGCTTTCCGGGGTTTTCACCAAACATGACTCATTCATTAAGGGGATGTTCGGAACCGTGGCCGTTTTCCAAAAAAAATGGTGCCACATTGGATCCACATAGGCGTTTCAACAAGCGCCCATGTATCTCATTGTTTGGTTCAGCCGATTATTAAAAAATCGGGCGTGCCTCAAAAATTGGTGACCCGTTTCCTCCAACGGTTGACTGATGTGTATCCTATGTGGTGCTTACCTGTCAGTACATTCATAAAAAATGGTGATGAAAATCACCTTACCAAACAGCATATTGCTCACTGCCTACGTGGCAGAAACATTTTTTTGTGAAAAAAATGTCTTAGAAGAATGAGCATTTTTTCTTGAAAATCGGTCCCACCCACACTTCCAAACACCATATAAGCATTTAAGCTGTCTGGGTTGAGCCCACATAAGCCGCTGTGTGAAAGCCCACCAAACGGGAACACAGTTTTTTAGTTGCTGCCACAAGTTGGATTGTGGAACAAGCCACCGGACGGCTAACCGGCTTAACAAACCACCCAGGTGAACCATGTAATTCACAAAAGGGTGCAACTTGGGTTGGGCTGGGCTAAGTATGCCATATTTTGAATGGGCCCAAAGCTGAACCTAGCCCAATGCAGTGAAATTCTTGAACGTAAACTGATTTACACCCCGACATGGAACTGGTGAGTGGTGACCCAGTTAGCTTTGTGGATCAACATCCAATTTGGGTTTTAATTTTTAAATAATTGAAGAATGTCTAAATGAAAACAGGGCAAGAAGGAAATCCTAAACGGTGGAAAAGCCTCCCAAAGATTACTTAGACGAGTTCATCCCGATAGTGCTGTCAATGAATCAAGTTTGGTCCAGGTCACAAGAGTAAACCAGGTTTGAATAAATAAAAGTGCAGAACTAATTCCGGATAAGATCCAATTATAGTTTAGTGTGATTTATTAAAACACCCCTATAATTTCATTAATTTACTAAAACCTATTCAATAATTTGTGTTTTACTAACACATCCCTTATAGTTTGCAATTAAATTTAATCAAAAGAAATTAAAAACAAAAATATCATTTTTGCCCTTAATAAAATATGGACAATCACTCTACCTAGGCCCATGGGTCCATGCCCTAATATCCATACTCTTGAACATTTTTCTCTCAATTTAAGGATACTTTTGGAATAAAACCGACCCAGTCCCAACTCTAATAGTTGGCCTTTAGCCCCAAGGCTTATCCTAACTTGTGGCCATCCCAAACCCCAATATGACCTAGATCATAATATCTGAGGATGTTGGGCAGGCAATGGGTCGGGTAGACCAGACAGGACCGAACCAAAGCGACCCATTAATATAGGATTTGGGTTTGAATTACGTGTCCTGATTGTAGTTGGGATGGTTCTTGGTTTTTGTTTCAATTATAATTGTTATGGATCAGCTTTGGTTGTTCCAAATCGATTATGTATAATTTTATTATATGTATATATTGATATATTATAATGATAGGTTCGACTATAATACTTATAAGATAATATTGAAAAATTTAGTTACCAATCAACCGATATCGTATTGTCAATTGGGGGTGTCTCAGCTGGTTTGTTCTAACATACACAAAATTTGATTCTCGCACTTACTGATTTTTGAGAAAGGAGGGAGTTATGAGGTGCATATCAAGAAATACCAAAAAAAAAAAAAAAAAACTCAACTGATATCATAAAAGTGGTAATCAATTATGTGGTTTTTGTCACAATTCACAGGGGGTGTGGGTTTGATTCATTAAGCTTTTCTGGTATCATGTCTTTCTGGCAGTATAAATTTTTCCTGCAAAGATACCTCCATTCTGATATTGTCTTTTTCCACTGTATCCTTGTAAAATTATTTGTAATGTTCCAATATGTCAATTTAACAAATTTATAAGTTTATTGTCAAATTACAGGAACATAATCATTTATTAGAACACCCCCTATAGTTTCACAGATTTACCTAAAACTACCCTATAGCTTGCATTTTATTAAAATACCCCTTACATTTTACAATCCATTTACTTAATCGACCTTTTCGTTAAGAATTATTTGTTTTTCAATCTAAAAATAGTAATATGATCACCTAATAGTTGTTTATTTCAAATTTATGGAGTTGATGCCACCTATTCCAACTACTAAACAATCTTGAATTTATGGATTCCCTGAAAACCAATTTCCAAGTTGAATTAGTTAGCTCCTTCAACATATATATAATTTATTGCATGAAGGGAATCACAAATAAGGGTACATATATGAAGAATGAGTGATATGCCATATATTTAATTTGCCAATTTGTGAATAATATTATGTTATTTACATAATTAAGGAATGAGAAAATCTATGCAAATTTCAGAGTTTTTTAGAAGCCTATAAAAAGAAAAAAACTTAATGAATCGGTTATATGAGAATGCAAATGGCTTGAGTGCAAATTCTGGTTTAATTTTGCTTCAGGTTTAATTTTACCTTTTTTTTTTCTTTTTTAGGAAGGGCAAAATGTGGAGAAAATTGGTATAATCCCCACTTTGCAGGAGACAAAATGAAAGGTATGAGGAAGGTTGGTTGTTTAGGAGGAGTGAAATAGAAAGTAAAATGATGTTACTCCCACTTTGTATAGGAAAAGTGAATATGAGAAGATGGTAGTGCAAATTTTACATCAGCCTAGACGCGAGAACAAATTTTACATCAGATTCAGATAGGGGTACAAGTCAGAGTTAAAAACACATAGAGTCTTCAGATATAGGAATTGCAAATGGAACACCAAATCTAAAAGCAAACGACTTATTGATGAGTTAGGTAACCATTGCAATCGCAAACACATCTTGAGAAAGGATCCATCCTTCAATTAATTTCTCCCATCCATTCAATTTCTGTTTCTCTTATTATTTATCAAACCAAACACACTCTTATTAGGCTGTGTTTGGTTGGAAAGAAAAGGTGGAGAAAGGAAAAATTATAACACAGGGTCATTAAAGAATTTTTAAGAAAATCCTTAAACTAACTGGAAGTGGAAGTGAGAGTGCATGCCCTAGTAGATTAATTGGAAGAGGCGTTGGGCTCAATTTCAATCTTTGAACTTTTTCTTCTTGTCTTATACTCTCAAAATCCTCACCCTTGTCAAAGAGGACAAAGAAAGACAGAAAATCAATCACCACTACTAAGGCAATAGAAAATACATGCTTCACCTGAAATTTTCTCTTGTCTCCCAGTTTCTCTGCAACATCTAAACGCCAAGCACTGTTAATTGGAACGGAACTCCAGAGACCCAAATTTCAAAGCATCCCAAGATCCAAATTTGCATCGATAAATCCATATGATTATGTTATAAACCATAAGAAGACACCTTAATAAAACAACCCAACTAATCTTTTTTGTTCATTTTAATATTTCTTTGCATCTTCACTTCAATCAATAATATATTACAGTTTTTATTCTTATTTCCTGTCTTTCCTTATATTCTAAGTTGGTCTGCTCGTACGAATCTTGTCTTTCTCCAACTTCTAAATTACATATCATTCTCACAATCAATTCATGTACCAAACTCTTCGTTCTGGCTTTCGTTTCTATTTTAATAATTCACAGTTGCTCTTTATTCGTATCTCAGACCCTCACCATCATCATCCCACATGAGAGAGAGAAGGGTTTGAAGAGAATGGTTTTAAGGGCCATCAGTTCATGTGGGTCCCATTAAAAATATATGCCACTTTGCGGTTGAAATATTAAATTTAAGGGTTATTTGCTAATCCATCCTTATATTTTCACGTAAATACTTTTTAAGACCTAGCTTATGCTTCACGTATTACAAAAGACACCTCCTACTTTATAACCTCTTTACTTAAAGCACCTTTTATTAGAAGCTGTTTGTGTATCTATTTGGGAATGATTTTCTGTTTCGAAGATATTTGCAAAAAGTCTCATACTCTCGTATCACTCTTTTAGCAAGACCCTCTCCCACATGATTTTATTTCAAAAATAAAAAAAGAAAGAATAATAGGAAAAACAAAAAAAATAAAGCAAAAATAAAATAAATGTAAAATGAAAAAAATAATAGAAAATATTTTTCTGTTTATTTTTATTTTCTAATTTAATTTTTCTGTTATATTTTTCTTATCTTCTTTTTTATTTTTTCTTATTTGGTATTAATATTTCAGTTATGTATTTTCTTTTAATTATTTTCGTCGAACAAACTTTTGGATAAAAATAGGGGCGTTTATTTACAAACTTACTTTACTAAAATTACCATCTAGTTTGTGTATTACTAAAAACACCCTTATGGTTTGCAACCACTTAATCTACCTTCCATCAGGAGCCATTTGTATTTCCAATAGAGAATGACCAACTGACCTCTTAAAACTAGTGGAAAATATGAAAGGGCATGAATTTAATCATGTTGTCAATAAATACACCTAGCAGTTCTCATATCACATGTACTCCATCCCTTTTCTACACCAAGTTATAATGTAGGGGCAGGTTTTGTTCCCTAAAATGTTGATAGGAGAACTACAAGAAATAACTTTGGGTTCACGTCATTTTACACTTTTAACTCATTTTAAGATGTTATTTTGCGATTATCAAATTAAAATACAAATGGTTCCTAATGGAAGGTCGATATAATGTTTTAGTAATATGCAAATTAAGAATAGGTTTAGTAAATATGAAATAATATAAGGGATGTCTTAAGTAAATGAACCTAAAATATATCACTTTTCACCTCCATATATGTAAGGATGGCAATTTTCCCCATCCTTATTGGGTAATTGGCTCTTCCCCCAATCCAATGGAATTAGGGATGGAGGTTGCCTCGGCAGGGACAAGGATTGAATAGTGATACTTGATCAGGAATAGGGGTGACTAAATGGGTAGGTTTTACTCGAAATCAAATAGAACCGACCTCGAATAGACCCTACCCAAATTTGTTATAGGATAAGGTCTAGTTCCAAATTTTTGGAACCGGCCCCCACCCAGGCAAGTTCTAGGGCCTAGGAGTTTACCTTACCCGAACTGACCCGATGAACTGACTTTTTGTTGGCCCTGGTAGAACCTACCTTAGAATTACTTTTGGGGATGTGAAGATTTGAACCCAACCACTAATGGTTAGAAAGGCCATGGTCTCACTTGACCATTGAATTACTTAAGTTATTTGATCATTTGTTTTCATTTTAATATTTAAATGTGTACAATAAGTAATGTAAAAGGTAATATTTACAAAATTTAAATTTAAATTATAAGTTTTGAACCATATAAGGATAATCTACATACTAAATTACTCAATTTAATCAATAAAGATAATATAAGTTTTAAACTATATATTATATTTATTGACAATCAAGTTTTTAAAGAACACATTTTTTAAGGAGTGGGGGAAGTAAAGAAAGAATAGGTTCCACGGTAGACCTTGTAATCAACCCTAGAACCACCAAGGCCAGAATCGACCTTCACATGGTAGGTTCCAATTCCAAAAACCTGGAACTGACCCCAATAGGGTAGGTTCCAAATTCTGCTATGGAACTGAGCCAACCCATGCTCACCCCTAATCTGAGATGGGGAGTGTGTTCTCCAGCCCGCCTAGACCCCCAATTATATATATTATACATATATAATATTATCTATATTATGTATGATATTATTTATATTATACATAAAATATATTTAAAATATTTTTATATTTAAAAATAAATCCCTTGTTTTATTTAAATATATTTTCTAAATAAAATTTTAATTTAAAAATTTTAGAAATTCGGGTCCAAAAAACCCACCTCCGTTGGAGAATGGGGATAAAGGGCCATTTTTATCCCTAATGGGAATCAAAGTCGGGGACGGGGATTTGTTTCAAAATTGGGATAGGGGTGGAGAGTATGGTCCCCACCCGTTGCCATTCCTACATATAAGGGTTGCAAAAGAAAGGTAGTTTGTCGCCACTAGACCTGTTCATGGGCCGGGCCGGGCTTTTTCTCATCATTAATGGATATACGCTAGGCCTGAGCCTGAGCCCGGGCCTATAACTTGGGCCCGAGCCCGGCCCTGATAAAAATCCCGAAGCCCGAGCCCGACCTAATAAAAAAAATTACAATTTTTTCTATTCAAATTAGAATTAAAAATTCAGATGGCTTTTTTTTTCCTATTTAAATGAACAATGGGCCTAAAAGATGGTTTTTTTCCCTTTTTTTATGTTTTAAGACAGTTTTACATTCTTAAATCAAAAAATTTATTCAAATGGACATAATCACATAACACATTTTAAGTCTAATTTTAGGTCGGGCCGAGCTATTTTCACAAAACCCGAACCCGACTCGAATTTATTACGGGCCGGGCTTTTTGACCCAAGTTTAAGCCCGTAGGCTTATAAACATGTTCAAGCCTGTCTGGGGGCCGGGCCAGCCTGTCGGGTCACCCGGCCCATGAACAGGTCTAATTGCCACTCCTACATATAAGGGTTGCAAAAGAAAAGTAGTTTCAAAATAGAGGGGTACCTGACTAATATTCAAACTATAAAGTATGTCTTAGTAATAGCGTGAAGCTAAAGGTTGTGTTAATAAATGACCCTTAATTAATTCAAACTACAAAGCCATTATTTCATTAAATAAGTCCCGTCGACTTGGGGACTTGTCCGCCTGCCCTTTCACAAACTAGAACTACCCTCACCGGTCCCCCAGCTTTTTCTCATTTAGTATTCAAGTTTCAACTCCTCTCTCTCTCTCTCTCTCTCTCTCTCTCTCTCTCCGTCTCTCGTTTATTCCTTCGCTTATGTCCTCAGTAGGCCCGCCGGAGTCTGTCAGCGGCGTCGGCGTCGGATACGGCATCGCTATAGCTGTTGGAATCCTCGTCTTAATTTCCACCATCATGCTAGCTTCCTACGTTTGTGTTAGAGTCAAGGCCGGCAACTTGAGTGGTGACGGTGGTAGTGGTAATCGTAACAGCGATAGTAGCGGTGCTGGTGGCGGTGGAGCAACAAACCACCACCACCACCACATGGCAACCGGGCACTCGCCGGTGTTGGTGGTGGGACTCGACAAACCCATAATTGATTCCTACCCGAAGCTAATACTAGGCGAGAGCCGGAGACTGCCCAAGCCCAACGACGGCTCATGCGCTATATGTCTATCGGAGTACAGGCCCAAGGAAACAATACGGTGCATTCCGGATTGCCAACACTGCTTTCATGCCGGCTGCGTCGACGAGTGGCTCCAGATGAGTGCAACATGTCCCCTCTGCCGTAGTTCCCCGGTACCCTCCGCCGGCTCTACGCCGGCGGCAACTCCTCTGTCAGAATTGGTCCCTCTGGCCTTCTACTCCAGGTGACCTTATCTTTTTGTTTATTATTATTTTGTTCTAAAATTTCACTGTAATTTTGTAATTTATGGTTCATGTTCTTGTATGCTGTAAACTTAATAAGCTTTTATATCTGTTTTTTTATATGTTTTTTATAAGAAAAAAAATATGATATAAAGTAAGGTCGCCAACTAAGTTGTTCTTCATTAATGCTGTGTGGAGGGGCTTTTATGAAGGAACCAAATTGCAGTGAATTCATATGAACATCACATGCACATACATCCAAGTGGTTATCCATCATAGATCACAATTCATTTGGGCATAATAGTCCCAGTTGTTTCAGCCAATCAGCATTGGCCACGTATGTAGAAGCAGAGCCATAGATGAAATTTGAGTCCAGCATGGAGTATTTCTATTTTCATGGAGTAATTCTATTTATTTTGGATTGGGACTTACTGTAATAAGTGAAATAAACCGGAATAAGTGTTTATTCTTGAAAATAAGTGGGGTTATTGGAGAAATCGAAAATTTGGGTTTATTTTTAAGTACTTATTTAATAAATACTTATTTTTAAAAATATTGATATTGCCCTTATTTGAAATAGTGCTTTTCAATTGCACTTGTGCAAATTTATGACACTGCAAATGGTGAGTTGGGATTGTGGTTTGCTTGGGCCTTTTCTTTTTTCTGTTTCATGTTCGTTTGGGCCTTTTACTTTGTGGTCACCATTTTTTATGATAGAAGATAAAAGTAGAAGAGATATTTGTTAAGGATGAATGATATGGGAAGTAAAATGATCTGTGGCCCCTAATTTTTTCTTTTCTTTTGACCAAAAGAAGAAGAAAAAAAAAAGGAGATTTGATCCAGTTCCCACAGACTTCATATGAGTGAAAATGAAGGTAAGAGAGAGGGTGATGTGAATTTTGCATCAGTTTTCTGGGTGCAAAGAAGTGCAAATTTTGCATCCGAGAGGGTGTAAATCATAATTACAAACAAAAGCATGGAATAGGGCATGATAGATCCTTCTGGGCTGCCACTGTTGGTTGGACTTGGAGAGCCTATTGGGCCTGCCAATGTTTGGAAGAAAAGGATCCATGGATCTCTTCTCTTCCCCCATTTTAAATCTCTACTTCCTCCTAAAGCTTAATTTGTGGTAGAGCTAATCAACCCTCCAGAGAGATCATGGAACTGGATTGGATGACTTATCACTAGGAAATCATCCTGTTACCTAGCAGACAAAGACAATGTGACCAGACACCAGCATGGCAACAGACACAGGTTGGGCTTCAGGCTCGGCCCATTAACATTTACACAGTTGGGCTCGGGCTTAAGGCCGGTGCCATCCAAGTTTAGCCTGGCCCATGAACAGCTAGATCTGTGTCCGAGTTAACTTTTCCCATTATTGTGCAGCTAAACAACAATTGGGATAGGAAATTTGGATGAAAGACAGATTCTGATTATTGGGGTCCTCCACTTGCATGATTCTGAGAATAAGAGAACTTGGGTATGTCTCCAATTATCCCAACAAGTGATGGCTAGTTTTATCATCAAACAGCTTGCGCAAATTGGTAATGGAACAAATTTGTTTTCAGCAATTTCTTCTGACCTATGACGAGGACAAAAGTGGTCGTTAGTGATATTCTTTCTTCTGATGTTCAACCAGATCTGATGGCATATAATGTCAAAAGCAATTAGTTTTGGAGCCTACAAATAACAAATGGAATCACATTTGGACTTCTCTGCCTTATCCACTTCAAGAACCACGAGCATCACCCATTTGCCCCCTTTATATAATTCCAATAAATGCATTGCAGCAATTGCCACCATTATCAAACAACTTTCAGTTTTCATTCGTCAAGCACTCTGCAAATAATATACATCGCATGTAATGGCCGAAAGGCCCTTCTGTTACTTGGGCTTTCACTTTTTCTTTCATGGGTCATGGCTTGAGGTGGGGATGGTAATTTTGCGGGAATTTTAGGATATCCAATAGAGGATGATAATTTTTTTCCGTAAAACCAGGGCTCTTTCCCACTCCAAACGGGGCGGATTTTCCCCGATTTTAAATGGGGATGGGATGGGGACACTTACTATTCTTCTGTTTTTTCCCCTTGTCATTTGGGCTATCACTTATTTTCTGTTGTCTTCCTTATAGTGGCTTGGGCTTGTTTGTTTTCACTGAATAGACATCTAATGTCTGAAGATAGTTTAGACATCTCAGATTGTTTAATACAACATCTCAGAGTGTTTAGTACAACATCTGAATCTGAACTCTTAATGTAAAAGATTCCTCTTGGTGAACACTGAGTTTTTAATTGCAACAAGAAGACAAGTCCTTAAAATAACTAAAATAGTAATGCCAAATGCAGCTTTAGAGTCTGAAATGCCCATCTGCCTCTTAAGTGAGCTAAGAGGTTTGTAATTTTTCCACTCTCTTCTGCTTCTCTTTGTTTGGTGCAGCTAGTTCTATTAATAAACCTTTCATCTAACAACGAAAACTCATAAATTACTGGAGTAAATATGTATAATAGATATTATTATATTCGCATACTCAAAATAGTTCAATTGCATTCAGAGTACAGAAAAGCAAAAACCAAACTTTGGTTATTCAGAGTCCAAAACCATACTCAAATCCTTTTGTGCTTTCTTAGACATCAAAGCTTAGTTTTACCAAACGCCCCATCCGTTTTGCATCTTCTGTTAAAAGATGCAACATGGGCAGGTTGGACCAGGTTTAAGTAGGGCCATAAGTCGGGCCGGGTTAGGTTGGATTGACGCCAAACCTAGCCCAACCCTAATCCTAACCTTAACCCAACCCTAACCCTAACCTTAACTAAATTCCTTCAACCATAACTCAATCCAACCCAACCTGAACCCAATTTTGGGTTGGGTTGGGCCCAACCCAACCTTCTTCCCATCCTTCATAAAATTTCTCGATTTTAGATCTTAACTCAACTTTCACTACATATATTAATCCTATGTTTCATTAGTATTTGTTTGTTGGCGTTATTTTTTTGTTCTTTTAGTACAGAATTCAGAAAAACAAGTGTTAGAAATGACTATAGTTTATTATGAGTTATGACTTACGATAGATCTTTCTTACGCGGCAAACAACATAGTGGAGATGAAGAATAAAATTTTCAAAAAATATAAAATAATGCTATTAAGGTTTTAGTCTTTCTGATTACGATTAAGTTAAGTGACTATCTTAAAAGAAATACATGATACTATGTGGTGGGGGCTATACAAATATCATGCATTTAAACAAATCAATGTATGTTATATATTACATATAACATATATTTATATATGACATGTACTATAGAGTTGGGTTCAAGTTGGGTCGAGTTGGCTAAGAGCTCAACCCTAACCCAACCCGAAGTAAAGTCGGGTTCATCAATTTCAACCCTAACCCTAACCCGAACATCAACCCAGCCCAAGTTGCAACCTTAGGTTTAAGGCTATTTAGGCCCAACCTTAGGATCAGAACATCACAGCCTGGCCCAACTTAATTCAAGGTCAAAGCCCAAGTATCTCCCAATTCAGGCCTAGCCCAAGTTAAACCCCACACATTCTGGCTAGGCTTAAGGAGGCATGGTCAAGAGACTCCGGATCTCCTGCCCACGAGAACCCTGCCCACACCTACCCACAATACACCACCCCCTGTGAATTCGGAACATCTCCCCCTGCATAATACCATGCAGAGGATGAGATGTTCTCCATGTGTAACTGCGATAAACATGGGCAGGGTTCTCGTAAGCAGGAGATCCGGGCTCTCGTCAAGATTGGATAAGTCGGACAACCTTCTTATTTAATTCTTGCGTTTTTATCACTTACGTGCTAAGGCACCCGGTGAAAGTAGGGGTTATCATAGGCCAGGCATCTGGTCCTAAAACATTAAATATAGAATATAAAATACACATATTTATTATGTTATAAATATATAAAAAATTTATGTTATACTTTAATATAAAATATTTGTGAGCTATGCTGGAGTACCAAATCATTTCCCTACCCTACATGAAGGGTTAATTCATGATGGTCCCCATCCTTCCAGCTCTCTACTATTTGTCTATTATTGCTAATACTTCTCCCGCTATCAATTTCAAACTAATGTTTTAAAAAATGATTTGGAATTGGAATCGTTTTGGCCATTGGTTTTTGGATTGATGGTTTGACTACTCCGTTTGAATTGATAGTTTGTTCAGATAAAAATTAAAATTAAATAATGGCCAAAACCATTAAACGGGTCGATGGTTTGACCACCTGAATCGAATGATTTTTTATTAGGGATCGGATCTGAGGTAAAACGGAACTGATTGTCTAAACGACTTCCAAGCCAAATGATCTAACCGTTCAAATCAACGGTGATTCGAAAACCATGATTCAAACCCTCTAATTATAATCAACGGGCTGCACTAAGGTGTAAACTAACCAATGAAAATTCATCAAAAGTTGTGGGGTTTTGATTTGTCAAAATTCATTTCATATAAGCATAAACTAACCCTACATGACGTGCCCCACAGGACCACAGAGTCCCACATATGTCATTGCGAGATGTTCCTAATGTATATTGAGATGTGCATGTAAACCACAGTATGGGCCGCACCCTGTGATCTAGAATGATAGTTGTTTGCTGGGCTGTGGGATCAATAAATCATTTTACTCCATGACAGTCTATGGCCCAGAATCCCTCAATCACTCATTTGCATTTATAACATTCATGTAAAAAAATGATTAATTGATTTCATAACTTATAAAACAACTATCTTGTTCAGCTAATTTGTTCATGGATGATGATTTGCAGATGCCAACAGCTACGCAAAGGCTTTGTCAATTGCAACACCAAGTCACCAACAACGATCTATGTTGTTTGTAATCTCAGTTTGGGAAGAGTGCAAATGCAAAACCTTTATCCTTTGTATTTATTTGCACTCTTTCATTCTAAATCTTGTATTTACATTCTACTTTACGTATTTGTATTTACACTCTTTCCGAATTGTTCTTTATAATCGTGGTTTCATTCGATAACATTCTGAAACATTCAAATGTATCAAAGAGACTTGTAATTTGCTACAATCTCCCTCCATCATGGACTTCGAGGAGATCATAAGATAAAAGCCATCAAAGGAATTGAACGGTTA